TCACAATTCTAACAACAACAAAAGTCATGCAATAAATAGCTTCTGGGACAGACAAGAGGCCATCATGGAGATTAGAAAGATACATAAGTAAATGGACATTAGATTTAAATTCTACCTATCAAAACTGGGGAATGCACTTTAAGTGGTAGTTAGAGGACAATGTATAGCCTTAAAATCACACCTTAGAAATCTAGAAAGTCTGAAAATTAGTAATTACTGAACCTAAGAAAGAGCAATATATCAAGGCCAAGTAAATAGAAGGAAGAAAACAAAGAGAAGTCAATGAAACAAAATCAAAACTTATAATAGCAAGGATCGATAAAGTCAAAATTTTGTTGAAAATATTAATAAAACTGGCAGATAGCTGGCAAGCTTGACCCATGGGGAAAAATGAGAAGGCACAAATAAACAATACTGACAATAAAACAAGGTACTTAGCTACTGATGATATGGACATTAAAATGATAATGCCAGTGAACTGGAAAACTGAGAGGAAATGTACAGATCTCTAGAATGTACGACTGAACAAAACTGACACAAGAAGAGATAGAAAACCCCCATTCCCATAACCGCCATGTCTTTGACTCAGAGTGTGAAGTCTTCCCACAAAAAAAGCGCCAGACCTAGATGGCTTTACCTTTAAATTTCACCAAACATTCAAGGCGGGGGGAGGTGATCATAATCCCATATAAAATCTTTTAGAATATGGAAAGAGAGAGAACACTTCTCAACTAACTCATTCGGTGAGGCTTACATACATTTGACACCAAATCCTGATGGGGACAGTATGAAGAAGGAAAATGAGGTCATGGATGTGTCTTACATGCAAATGTCAACGCAAAAATTCTGAAGGAAATATTAGCAGGCAGATTTCAGATGTGTCTAACAACGCACGATGTGAAGGGCTGGAGCAGGGCCACAGGCCACACGGATGGCTGGACAATCATCACCAAGGGAGATGACCACTGTCTAGATCCTTCAGGGAGGCCGTGGGGCCAGAGAGCCAGGTGAGCAGCACTGAGGTGGCTCTTAGGGGTGAGCGGGGTAGGGAGAGGGTTGTTGGGATGACAGGGTCTCAGGCCCGCTGGCAGCTGGGGGTATGGAGGAGTCGCTCTGGGATGAGGACAGAGAAGGAGGAGCAGCATCTGGGGCAGATGCCAAGCCCTGGGTAACTGGCCTTGTCTGGTCCAAGGGGAGGGCAAGCATGTGGTCAGCAGAGGGGTCTGGGGCAGGTGTGCTGGGGGGGCTCCCGGGCTGGGGGCATTGGACTCCAGGAGAAAGGTGTGCTGGCCAGGATTCTAGGACAGGAGGCTGCAAAAGGTATGTCAGGTGGTGGTGGGGGGGCTCGTCCTACCCACGCCCTCTGAACTGGGGCCTGCAAACCCAGTCCTTCCCTGTGTCCGGCTCTAAGCCATGAACATTTCCGGCAAAAACAGAGAAGAAAGAAATCCTCCAGCCCACTGCGCTCCTCATATCAGCACAAGCAGTATGAGCTGAGCTTGCAAAATAAACAGGGCTCAACATAAACACTGCAGCAGGTCCTGAGGACCGAGCTAAGAATACACACGGGGGAGGAAGGTTCGAGCAGTCTTCTCTGTGGCATCCCCAGAGAGCTGAGGGGACGCCTGCCTCCCAGCAGCCCTCGCAGGGCTGGGGGCTGGGGGCCAGGCTGGGGGGCTCGTGTTCTCAGGCCAGGCCCCTCTGTTGAATCTGTCCCAGGGCCCTGGACCCCCCAGGCCCCAGCTGGGCCCTCCACGCCGTACCTGCTTCCTTTCCAACTGACCCCTTACGTTTTTGTGTTCACGAAGCACTGTCTGGGTCCCTCTGTCTCTCTACTTCTGCTCCCCCTCCCATCTGCCGCGTCCTCTTCCCTTAATCCCCTAACCAGCTATGTGACCTTGGGCAACTGCTCAAGTTCTCTGGGGCTCAGTTTCCTCACCAGTAAGGAAGGATTTCTTTGGGGAAATAAAAGTCCCTCCTTTCCAGAATAAAGACAACACGAAACAGCACATGGCGGCTCTGGTGATTTTTAAACAGAAGCATGCAAGGAGCAGCTCATGCCTTTCTCTTTCCCTGCTAAAGGGAGGCCAGTGGGGAGCGGGTCTGAGACATGGGGGGCAGGTTCCCAACTGTCTGGGGGTGATGCCTGTGGGGACACAGGCCGTGGGATGGGAATGTTACTTTGCTCTTCCCATCCTGGGAGTGAGGCAGGCCTCAACGGCCAGGCCAGACCAGGTGCAAGGTACCCCAGGGACAGGCAGGTGGGGCACTCTGCACTGGGTGGGGGGAGCACTCTAGCATGCCGGAGCTGTGACGAGGGCTCTGGTGGGCAGGAAGTACATGGGACCCTCCTCCCCCTTGTGGCCCCTGGCTGGCAAGCTGTGAGGCCCAGAGGCAAGGGCTCCTTGCAGGGAAACTGAGGCACCCCTGGACAAGCTGATCTAGCTTTCCCTGGCAGTTCCCCGCAAGTGGACATCTCAGCCCCCTGATCCTCAGAACTGATCTGGTCCCAAGAATGGGGGCCAGCAGCTGTGCAGCCCACATGTCCCCCACACAGCTCCTCTCCAAGCCTGTGTCCTGCAGTTGAGTGAGCCCTCCTGGGATGGGAGCAGCAGCACAGATGGCCACACCTCTCGGCGTGAGGGCCAGGTTCCTCTCCCGCTCAAGGCCTGCCCAGTGGGGTCTCTGACTCGCTGGCATTGCTGCAGGCCTGCTGGGCCTCTGAGGGCTGGTGGCTGCTGGATTTCCTGCCTCTGACTTCCCACAGTCAGCAGGATTGCTCGGGGGTTGTTTATGGTCCCGATGGCCCCGGTGATAACTGTGATAATGTGGGGCCCGGGAAGTGCCACTGTGCCCTCTGGACCTGGCGAGGCCCTTTCCCAGGGTCTGCCGTCGAGGGGGCATGGGCCAGCAGCGGAGGAGGCCCTGGAGGCCGAGGGGGCTGGTGGGGGCCTCGACCTGGCATAGAGTGTCGGCTGGCTCGTCCCCTTGGAGACTCCAGGCAGGTGGGCTCGGCTCTCGGACCGAACCGGCTCCTCACAGCAGACTGGGACAGAGTCAGGACAGAATCAGTCTCCCCAGTGACCATGTGTGTAGCTGTCCCAGAGTCCTCACTGCCCAGCGACAGCCCCTGAGTGCTGGGGCCACTGGGGGACTGTGTCCCCAAACCTTGCCCCCAGGGATCAGGGGCTATGGGAAATACTTCCCTTTGTCATTTGGATCCGCAGAAATGAGGGCACTAGTTCTATTTATATCCCCAAGGCCGGTGCGGGCCCTGCCTCAGCCCACCCTGCTGACCATGGCCAACCAGGGCATCCAGGTGGTCAGATCCTGCAGGCTGCTGGATGTCTGCTGCTCCAGCCGGGGAGGGGGCACTGTTCCAGGAGACCCTGTCCCCTACCCGCATCACCCCCAGAGGACTCCAGGCTCTAGTCTGAGCTTAAAGGGTGGCCCGCCCTGAGAAGCAGGACACAGAGCTATAAGAAAACCCTAGACCAGCAAGGTCGAGGAGAGGTGAGCACACCCAGAAGCAGGGCCCACTCCCAGCGCTGCTGGGGGCAGGAAGGGTCACGTGCTCCCAGGACACCACGATTCTCATCAGCAGTGGGGGCCACACTGCCTCGGCCAGGGCTCCAGGGCAGGGTGAGGGGCCTGGGTCTGTTCCCTGCTCTACCTCTCCTCCCTTTGATGTCTAGAAGCCTCCCCTCCCACACATACAGGGTGCCTGGACTGCTGCACTGGGTGTGGCCACGGGCTGCCCCCAGCCACCAAGAGGAGCACCTGATAAGGATATACCTAGTTCACTGGAGTGGCCAAGCCCAGGGTCCCCAGGCCTCTGATATCTGCTGCCTGGGGATGTGACTGACTTCTCCTGGTCTCATCCTGTTGGACAGGGACATCTCCCACTGGGCCGTTGGCCTGAGAGCAGACAGGTACCAGCCTCCTGGGCCTGTGCTGACCAGAGCACCAGGTCGTCCGTCTGGCAGGGCCACACATCAATGTCACAGTCTCAGCCAGCCAGGCCCGAAGCGAGGGCCCCTGTGGGCACATGGACAGTGGCCCTCCCTCTCTCTGCCTGGTCCCATCCTGTGTCACGGTCCCATGGCCACCTAGGCCAGGGCAGATCGTGCAGGTGGGGAAGAGGCGATGTGGCAGGCCGGGCCCTGGGGTGGGGTGAGGTGGGAGCTGCACCCCTGCCCCTCCTGCCCAGCTACAGCGGAGATGAAGTGGGCCAGAGCCCGGCGTTACCAGGGAAACCGAGCGGCAGACACAGACCCTGCCCAACCGAAATCCCTCTATTTTTAGCCTCCGGGCTACTTTGAGATAAAGCCCGTGTAGACGGACGAGCTGTCGGGCAAGATAATAGGCTGCTCCAAACCACAGAGACTTCACAGGGTGGGCTTGAGCCTAAGAAGGGCTCCTTCACCCCCCAGGACACCCCGGGAAGAGGCTCCCATGCTGAGAGGCCTACAAGCCCACAGGATGCATGGGGCATCCCGGTGGCAGAGGCTGCACAGGCCAAGGGGCCTGTGACAGAACAGAGGGAGTGCAGGCTTGGCACCCCCTCTGCAGGAGAGGACCCATAGGTCCCACATCCCTCCTGGACACCCAGCAGGGCCCTGGGTGGCACTGCACCCCACCCAGCATCCCTATGGAGGCGGGTCCTTGAGACTGCAGGCCCTCCTCCCCACCGACACGCCCCGAAGTCCCCTGGTACCACCGTCAGCACCTCTGACCTCCGCGAGTATACACAGCGACAGCAGTGTAGACAGCTTTTCCTACCCCACGGCGCACTGGGCAGCCTCAGCCTCTCCCAGGGGGCCCTGGGGGTACTGGGCACTGCTCATCGGGAAAGACACCCATTGCCAGAGGCCTACAAACCAGGTTCCAGGCACCACCACCCGGCTTCAGGGGGGTGGGGGACCCCCGTGCCATGGGGAGCACCCTGACCCTGAGGATGGTGACCGGCAGAGCCAGCGTGGCTTGGGACTCTCGCCTACCTTGTCTTCTACTCGGTTCAGGCGCGCCCCAATCGTGTTGCTCCCACGGTCCTTGCTCTTCTCTGTGGGGCAGAGGATCAGGATCAGGGATGTGTGTTGGGGGGCCTTTGGGGGAGGGTGATGAGGGTGGGGCAGCTGAGGGTCACAGGCCTGCACCTGTGAGCTCCTCCACAGTGGGAGCTCTGGGAGGCAGGGGCCTGGGCTGGACCGGGTGCCCCGTGGCCCGCCGCCGCCACTCCTGGTTCTGTGGCCTCCGAGAGCCTGGTGCAGGAGGGCAAGATGACCCTGCGGGGGCCACGGACATGGTGCCCACTGCGCTGCATAAACCCAGCACAGACGCTGCCTGCTTCCTGCTGCGCAGGTATGGCGTGGATTTTCAGGTGGAGGGTTTGTGGCGACACTGCACTGGGCGGGTCTGTGGGCACCGGGTCCCAACATCATTTGCTTACTTCCTGTCTCCATGTCCCATGTGAGTAATTCTCGCCCTGTTTCAGCTGTGTCTGAATTCCTACCCGCGCTGTGGTGATCCGCCGTCAGAGACAAGACTTGCCGACGGCTCAGGTGACGGTCAGCACTTACGAGCCCCAAGGTCCTCTCCAGTGAAGGTCTGCACGCTCGCTTTTCACACACAATGCTGTTGCACACACTGGACTATGGCACTGCATAACCATCCCTTCTATCTGCATTGGGAAGCCCTAAAATTCTTCAGACTCGGCTTTATCGCAATATTTGCTTTATTGCAGTCGTCTGGAACAACCGTGGGGTTTTGCTGCCGTGGGTCTGCACGTTCTGCACTCCCTCCACCTCCACCCCCACGCTGGCCTCCCTCAGCTGCCCTGCTGTCCCACCCTGGGTGAGCCACGGCTCTCACCATGACTTGGGCCAGGGTGACCCCAGGAATGGGCCTGGCCCTGTCCTCCCTGGATGGAGCCTGGTCCGGGGGACGTAAGGAGTCAGAGCTGGACAATGATGCCCACCCTCCTGTGGCTGATGGTCCCTCTGGTCCCTCTGGGCTGGCGACTCACCTTGCAAAACTTCCCCACGTCTCCCCCCTCATGGGATGCTGGGGTCCACACCCCGATCTTTGATGGCCTAGAGAGGCTGACAGTTTAAGGGGATCTATGCGGGTTCTTGCACTAACTGTAAAGCATGTTCCAAGGCGCTTGGCTCAGGGTGGAGGCCACCTGCTCCCCTCTGGTGTGTGTGGCCTATCCTGCCCTTCCAAGGCCCTGTGGCCCCTTCTGACAGGGAGAGGCAGGTGCAGGTAGAGGGGTACGCAAAGGGTCTGGTGTGGGCAGGGTGGTTTGATGCGGAAACCCACCTGAGACGGAGATGAAGAGGGAGGGCTTCCCGATGGACTGGTCCAGCCTGGGAGGGAGGGAGGGAGGGAGACAGATAGAGACCAGCTCACGCTTGACCTGGACGCCACACATACACCCAGCCTGATGGTGGGTGGACAAGCAAGGTGCCTGGCAGGGTGACAAGCCACCCACCCCTTCTGGGGACACCCACCACTGCCACCCACAAACCCACCAGGGGCCTCCTAGGCCCCAGAGGTCTATACTACGGCTGGGGGGGGGGGCTCAGAGACGAGGGGCAGTGGTTGGAAGTTCCTTAGATGTTCTCTCTGGCCAGGACAGGGCCTCAAGACTGCCCCATGTCCTGTCTTTGCTTTGTAATTGGCCCAGACCGGGCATCTCAGCCATGCTCACGGAGACCGTCCTGTGAGCTGGTCCTTCCAGGGTGAGGCCAGGTTGCTGAGCCAAGGGCTTCATGTCCCTATGGTGGGTTAGCCATGGCGGGGGGCAGCCGCCAGCCTGAGCCTCTGGGTGTGGTCAGGACGGGCACAGGGTCCCAGCCCTATCCCGGGACACAGGGACTTAGGTTCCCAGGCTAGCCCAGCAGAGAGGTGCAGCCAGTGTGAGCCTGTGCCGGCCCCAGGGACCACGCTGCCTCCATGAGAATGAGCTCCAGGCTCTAAGCCAGAAGCTGAAACACGGCAGCTCCCAATGGTTGGAGTTCCTGGCTGCAGGTCTGGGACAGGGAGAGCACAGGCACACAGACCCGTGGGGTGGGGCTCCATGCCCGGCAGGGCGTTCCCAGGAAGTGGGTGAGTCCTGGGCAGGGCCTGGGCCCCCTTGGACGCGGTGCGGTCGAAGGCAGGCGCAGAGGGTTGGGTGGGTTGTGGAGCTGGTGCAGCCCGAGGGGGAGGGAGCCCCACGCAGCAACTCCCCCCTGTCCATCCCCCCAGGTCACTCCCAGCACCCGAGCCCACCTTCTCTGCAGCTCTTTGATGCGCACCATGAGGTTGAGGTGGCCCTGGGAGTACTGCTCAATGACGTCCCGCACATCGTAGGGCTTCCGCGCTTGCTGTAGGCCACAAAGACAGTCAGCCCCCGCTCTGTGCCCCCTCGGCCCAGCACTAAATGTGGACAGTGATGCTGCCTGCCTGGGGGGGCCTCTTGGGAATTTAAGGAGGTTACCCCTATGGTGCAATGGGGCTGTTCTGGCCCAGGGCGCACACGGTGGCCCACTCTCCCCTGGTGCTCGGCCACTCCATTCTCAGTCACTGGGGCTGGGTGGCCCTGGGCTGGCGGCTTGGCCTCTCTGGGTCTTAGCTTCCTGCCCACTCACTGCAGGGCCTGCCTGTTTGCCCTTTGCAGGTTACCAGCTCCTATTATTGGAAAGAACTAGTCCAGCTGATGGGCCAGGAGGGGCAGCGCTCTGCGCAGCCACTGTCTTCCTGGCCCCGCGCTGAGCCCTGACACCCTCTCTGGCAGGCACACCCACTATTCTCGGGGTTGGGGAGAGGCAGGCAGAGGTGGCCCCAGGGGACCCCCAGCCTGCTGTGCCTGCTCTGGGACAGGCTGCCTGCTGCGGCTCTGAGGTTGCCAGGGCAGAGGGGACACTCCCACAGCAGGCCTGGGGCCACACAGGGTGGAGCCGCTGACCCCACGGCACCGAGGCTTGGCGCCAGCTCTGAGCCCATCAATGCATGTGGGGCTCAGGTGAAATCACCAGAAACCACAACAGAGAGAATGAGGCTTCTTATGATGTCAGCAAAACCTCAAGCCACATTTATGGCCCTGTTCCCAGGAGCCTGTGGGCCGAGGGTCTTCCCCCAGGTAGCAGCAGGCCAGCTGAGTGGGGGTTTGATGGCCCAGGGGGCCCTTCACACACACAGGCCAGCCAGAGCTGTGTGGGAACATAGAGCCCCTTGACCCAAGGGGCTGTGGGGATGCCAGGTCAGGGGCACCCAGAGTGGTCCTCATTAGCACCCAGGAGTCCACATGAGCAATGAGCCTGGGGTGACTGCCTCTAGCTGAGGAGGGCAAAGGCCTGGGAGGCCAGCCAGACATCCAGGTGCAGTGGGCCCGCCTGGGGTGGGGGCGAGAGGGAACAAGGTTCAGATACCCACCGAGTGTCAGGGCTGCGTCTCAATCCCGGGGATCCCCAGGAATGTGTCTCTCCTGCCCACCAGAGGCCAACCTCTCCTTGAGGTGTCCTCTTCCCCCGAGACTGGGGCTACCCTAGTCTGACCATGGCCCAGCCCTGCTTTCCCAGTAAAATGGGGTACCCAAGGGCACCTGAGTGTGCTTCTGACAAGCCCAGGGACTCTGCAATCAACATGGGCAATGCCCCGTTATTATTCTGGACACTAGGAATTCTCAGGCGGGGGCCTCCTCCCTCCCAGGGGCTAGGCCTCAGAGGTCTGGGGGGTTCCTACCAGGAGGGGCCCTCGGGCCTCACAGGCAGTGTGCAGCCCCTCTCTGGGCCCTGAATCAGGATCCTGAGATTAGTGGGGTGGTGGTGGGGCTGGGATTAACCTGATCTTCCCCAAACCACAGCTGTACCCCTGACAGAAGGATATGCCACCCTTGGGGCCCATGCTGGGCAGTGGAACCATCTGCATGGTCTTGTGGGCTATGTGCCAGGCCTGTCATGAGATCCCAGGGTCTCTAGGTAGACCCTCGGCTCCCTGCATGCTCAGATGGACGACAGTCATAACAACAGGTATGGGCTAGTGATAATAGCTTCAGATTTTACTTTTTCCTTCTGGAAGATGGGGGAGGCTGAGCCCCACGCTCCTTCCTGGAAGATGGGGGTTGCTGAGCCCCGCCCTCCCTTCTGGAAGATGGCAGGGGACACTGAGCCCTACACTCCTTTCTGGAAGAGTCTGAGCTCTTCCTTAGTGCACACACTGAAGGTGGCTATGGGTCATGACAGTCAGCCCCCTGTGGGCCCAAGGCTTCGTGAGGCATGAGGCACTTGCAGGCAGGCCAGAGAGGCTGGGGGTCGGCAGGGGGCTGGCTGCCTTCAGAGCTCTAGGTGGCCTAGGCCTGGTCTGCAGGAGACATGCCCCTGGGCTGGGCTCCGGGGCAGGCTGGAGAGCATGGCCACTCAATGCAGGTGAATGTGGGCACCTGAGTGTGCTGGGAAATTGTGTGCGCGCACACACATGCCTCTGGGAAAGCAGGAGAAAGTGTGTGTGTGAAAGGGGGAAGATGAGTGTGTGCCCCAGCATGTGTGTCTGCAGGACGGGGCTGGCAAGCTGGGCACGGCTCCGGGCTGCAGCTGGGGAGCCCTGCCTCCCCTTGCTTAGAGCACGGACTGCAGAAGGGCCAGCAACGCCTGGCTGGCCCCCAGGACCCAGGGACTGGCGGGGCCCCAGGCGCCCTGAGACTTATCTTGGTGCTGCTGAGCCCCCCGGGGTCTGGTCCGCACTCCCGGAGGCCCCTGCAGGGGCTGCCTGGGCCCCGCTGGAGGAACCATCTCAGCTTTCTCCCCAGAGCTCATTTCCTCTGGCGGCAGCAGCAGGAGCCTGAGATGAGCTGAGATAATGCAGGGTTGTCCAGACTGACCGACGGTGGACAGGGGAGTTCAAGGCAAACCCGGAGGGCTAAGAGCCTCTGGCTCCTCTGGCCAGACACAGGGGCGGCCCGCCGGGCACTTATCGGCCAGGCAGAGGGGCAGGCGGGGGGCCACCCGCCACGTCTGCAGCCCCTGAGGCCGGGGGCGGGGGTGGGGTGCAGGCAGACAGACAGACAGGCTGTTGTGGGGGAAGGGAAGGCATCCCGGACAGCTGGGCCTGGGGTGGAGGCTGCTCTGGAGCCTCACAGAGCTCCTCACAGCCAGGCGCTCCACCGTGGGTCCCTCCTCCTCATCCCGTGGGCCTCCGTGCTGCCTCTGGCAACGAGGGCCAGCTGCTGAGGCTGAGCCCCCCGCCCCACCCCACATTGCTCAAGAGCCTCTGTCCCCCACCAGAGCAAACTGAGAGGCTCTCAGGAGCATCTGCATTCAAAGGGCCCCACATGCTTTCCTCCAGGGCCCCCTATCCCAGGCATAAGGGTGGGGCAGAAAGCAGGAGAGATAGGGTTGTCCAGCCTGCTTCTGGGGACCCTGGCAGGACCCTGGCCTGTGTCTTGTGGCAGAAAAGGCAAATCCCGGCCTGGAAGGAAGGATGGGGCCCCTGCTGAGGCCAGCAGGCAGTTTTCTTGCCTGCATTTCAGGGACAGGGTGTTCCCCAAGTCAGTTCCAGCCATGGTGGGTGCCCTTCTACCAAGGATGAGCTCTGTCCTGAGCTGGAAGCTGCCCACATAACCCCTGAGCCGAGCCTGCCAGAAGCCTCATGTTTCTGCCTTCTGTGCTGGGTGCCCCTAAACCCTGCAAGCCCACTGTCCACCCTGGCACAGCCTCCCCATGTCCTCACTGCACCCCAAGTGGTAGGTTACAGGCTGCTTTGCAGGGCCCTGCCCTGGAGGCTCAGTGGCCTGGCTTCTCAGGCTGGAGGTCAGCCTTATCCCTAGAAGATGCCCCACTGACCCCTCTGCTCCACCAGGTTGATGTCTGGGGTTTTTGCTGTCACTGCTAAGCCACTCACCAATACACCCTGGCCTTTCCCAGGGCCTCCCTGGTGCTGCTCAGAGCAGACCCCCGGAGGGGGTTCCATAGCCCCTTCCCCACCAGGATTGTGCTGGTGCTGTGAGAAGGCTGGGCCCTCCTCTCTAGTGCCCTCCCAAGCTGTCCCACCATCAGGGCAGCCAGGGCCCCTGGGGAGGAAGGCCACAGACCAGATACTTGAGAGCTCTGGGGCCATCAGTCTTGCCCAGGACATTGCCAGGCAGACCTCCTGGTGTAGCCAAGACTGGCACTTACCATGACTTGTCTATTTGGGCAACGAGGAGGCCCAGGCCATAGTGGGACCCTTTGCACGACCTGCCCTGGTTTGGTGGTGAATGGCCTCCCTGCCCGGGGTATCAGACAGATGGGCAGCAGAAGGTCACCGAGGGACTGTGTGTGCAGCCATCCCAAACAGCAGCCAGCTGCTAAGCCATGGGGGGTACACACACAGTGGCCAGGGAGCGCTTCACTGAGGGGTGCTGTTGGGGCTCGGACCAATGGTGGTCAGCTCTGGGGCAGATGCTGCCCACGGGCTGCCATGGGTGAGGGCCCTGTGAGCTATGCAAGGATGTGGTCTCACACCATCTCTTGGGCTCTTGTTCCCATTACAGATGGGAAAGAACTGACCCAGGGCTGCCTGGGGTGGGAGTCTGCGTCCAGAAGTCCACCCCCAATGGGGCTCTATGGCCCAAGTGGTGTGGTCTCTGCTGAAGGGATGGCACAGGAGACACAGCCTGGAGCAGACAGAGGGGCCCCGTTTTTTGCCACAGCCTTGCTGGGACCAGCTGGAGGAAGGGAGCAGGTCAGCCCCGACCTTCCCTGCTTGGGGACCTGGATGTTACCACTGCTCCCTGGGGCCCCAGTCCCCAGCCCATTGGGCACTCACTTTTTGAAGGCACTGGTGATCAGCCCTTCTGGAAAGAGAATGGGCACCCCTGAGGGTCCCCATTTCTGAAGTCTACATGTTCTTAGACTGAGGGTGGAGCCAGGGACCTTCTCAGACCCAGGGCTGTTCCCACAGCAGAAGGGGAGCTGAGCCTGCCACCAACTGGTTTTCTAGGGGGGCCTTAGGCAACAGGGGATACAAGGGGCAGCTGCAGAAGACCTGGACCCGGACCCAGAGGGTGAGCTGATGGGGCAGGGAAACCCTCAGGCCCCAGCCTCACCCTCTCCCTCTCCCTGTAAAGGTGAGTCGGCCCCCAGGGCACAGGCAGGGCCAAGTTTCTCTTCTGTTCTCGTGACTCCCATTGGGGGCAGGGGGTGAATAGGGCCGAGAGCACCGACTGTGTGGGACAGGGCTCCGGGGTCTAGGGGACCCCACTTCCTGCCCGGGTGATGAGGGGCAGGCTTGGTACCCTCTCTGCCACTCCTGAGTCATCTGCCAGTCAAGTAGGGGAAAAGAAGGGTGAGACCCTGAGGCTCTGTGTGTACCTGGCTTGAGGCTGGACCTCAGGGCAGGGTCCTTCCAGGGGCTGTCTTGTAAGAGGGAAAATGAAGTTGTTGCAGGATATTTGATGAGGGTCAGGCCTAGGGTGTAGCAGGGTGGGGTGAAGGGTGGCCTGTAGTCTTTGCCATGGGTGGGACAGGGGCTCCTGGGGCTGGGCCAAGGGCAGAAGCGCTTAGTAGGACTCACCTGGAATTTCTTCTTGGCTACAAAGTACTGCATGCGCCGAATGACCTTGATGGTGGCCCGGTGGTGCTCCCGCAGCCTGTGAGGGAGAATGGAGAAGAGGCATGAGTGGCTCCCCTGTAATGGTCATCCTGTGCCCAGCATTTTCCAAAGCTTGGCAATTTCCCAAGTGCCTCCCACTGCATGTGGGCTGGGCCCTTCCAGAAATAGAGAATGTTCAGCCCCATGGATTGGAGGACTTCAAGGCTCCACATTGGTTGGGGAGGAGAGCAGACCGGAGGCAAGAGACTTTTAATTAGTGGATGGTCCCAGAGGGATCCTTGCCTTGCCTGTTGCTTGGAAATGGTACGGGAGTCAGTGTCCTGGGTTCACATGGGCTACGCCCTTAACTCACAGCAGAGCCACAGAAACTTCTTTCTACCTTCCGGCCTTCTGGCTCCTTACCAGTATAATGGGGAGGGAGTGCAAAGAGAGGGTGCCCAAGGCCCCTTTCAGCTGGAACATTCTATGTCCCATACACAGGCATACACTGGAAAATGTAGGGGTCACAGGACAAATTAGGCAGAGACAGTTACTAGCTACATCACTTGATCAGGAGATTATATCATCTCTCCTCTCAAGTGCCTTCTAGAAATCTAGATCCTTCTAGAAACAAAGATCTGTCTAGAAACATCAACAAAGGAAGCATGACTGATGATGTGCATAGAAAAAAAGTCTAGAAGGAAATACAGAAGGAAATTCCCCCAAATGGAAGTGGTGGGGCTTTGGCCACCAAGACTGCATGTGACCACACCTCTGCCAGGGACAGAGTGCTCTGCCTGCACCTCTTACACACGGGAGAAAACCAAATTATCTATAGGGAGATAATATTTTGGGCCCTTTATGTATTTTTACACTGAAAAGACTGAAATCCAAGGGAAAAAATAGACCACAGAAACAGATCTCGAGATGTGGCAAATTCAGTGGTCCAAATGCTTGTAGTTCCTCCATCAAGAGATAGAATTGGTTTTCCCACTACTTGAATTTGGGTTGACCTTGACACTTGCTCTGACAAAAAGAATGCTCGGAAGTCACACTGTATATGTGATGTGCTCTTGGAATGTGGCCCCATGAGCCAGCCTGAGCTGGCTGGCTGGAGAGGCTGCACAGAGGAGAACAGAGGTGCCCCAGTCAAGAGCCAGAATCAAGCAATAGACATGTAGTAAGACCGTCTCTGACAATTCAGCCTCAGGAGGTCTACAGATGACTGCATCTGCACGAACACACACACAATGCCAGCAAAACAACCTCCCCATTGACCTGACGCCAAACTGCTGACCCACAGAATCATAAGAAAACGAGTTGTGGTCTTAAGCCACTAAATTTAGGTGTGGTTTACTAGGCAGCAATAGATTACAGGTAAAGAAATTAGGACTCCCAACATGGGGTCCTTTCATATCAAGATCTTCAAACACAAACACATGGAGCTTGTTTGGGGACCCAGGGATTGGACAGAGGCTGGAAGAAAATGGCAGATCCTAATATGTTGGACCTAGAGCATGATGCTGTCATTAATTGGATGAGACTTTTTGGTGTCCTTGGAAGGGTGAGTGAATTTTGTTCTGTGAAGAATGTAAAAAGTTATGGGTCTGTTCCCACCATGGTGGAAGTGGACCATGTGTCTGAACTATGGTCTCAAGAACCCTCACAGCTCCCACTATCATCCTGTCAGAATGCTGCTGCCACATGCATGTGTCTGAGTGAGGCTGCTGGAAGAGCAATGAGGAGGAGAGCTGTGACACCCGGGCCAACAGCTGGGTAGCTCCAGACACGTGCGGTTGGCTGAGACCACCCGGTCCTGCCAAGCTGTTGCATGGATGAGCCCAAGGGAGACCACCCAGATGAGCAGCCCAAAATGCTGACCCACAGACTCATGAGCAAACAGATGGCTGTGGTTTGCTTCAGAGCTTTTAGATAAAGACTTTAAAATAACCATGATTAATTGGTTCAAGAAGATAGATGGAGAATTTCATCCGAGAAATAAAATCTGTATTAAAAATAATAAAATGGAAATTTTAGAACAGAAAAGACAATAATGGAAATTAAGAATGCAACAGATGAATCTGATAGCAGAGGAGATGTGCAAGAAAGGAGTATGTGTGAACTGGAAGGGAACTGCCAGGTGGGGGTATGGGGACAAAATAGAATTAAACAAATGGAAAAAATGCAAGATGTGGGAGATATGATTCCTACACATGTGGAATCCCAGTAGGAAAGGAGACAAAATGGAGGCTCGGCGGCTGAGACTTTTCCAAGAATGATGGAAGACATCAGGCTGCAGATGCAAGCAGCTCTTTGGATCCCTAGGCTTATCAGAGTAACACTGCCTCCACCAAAGGCACAGGGAATGTCACAGAAGCAGTGAAGGAGGGAATGGGGACAACGACACGTTATCCTGATGACTGGCTTCTCAACAGAAAGGATAGAAGCCAGGTGGCATCTGTAAAGTGCTCAAGGGAAATTACTACCAACTTAGCATTCTGGATCATTGAATAAACCCTTTAAAATGAAGAACAAAGTCAGGAAATCCTGTAGGACTCTCCTCAGATGAGGTCCCAAGAGGAGTCAGCTTCATAGGGACAGACAGTAGGATGGTGGGAGCCAGGGGATGGGGTGGTGGAGGGAGAGTTAGTGTTTTGTGGGGACAGAGTTTCAGTTTCACAAGAGGACAAAGTCCCAGAGACAGAAGGTGGAGACGGCTGTACTACATGTGAATATGCTTAGTACCCCTGAGCTGCACACAAAAATGGTTATGTATATTTTACCACAATACAAAAAAAAAAAAAAAAAAGAAGCTGAAACCAAAACCAAGAGAATTCACCGCTAGGAGAACTGCATTGGAAGAATGATTCAGGAGACAGGCAGAGAAAAATGATCCCAGAAGGAGGCAGGAGAATACAGGAAGGAATTAAAAACACATAAAAGGACAGATTTATGAGAAAGTTTAAATTTGTATTGACTGAAATGGTAATGCTTCATGAGGTTCACACATTACTAGAGACAAAGAGGGATATTTCATAATTTTAAACAATGGTCGGTTTGGTAGAAAGGTATCAATCCTAGATCTGCATGCACATAAAAGCCGTACACATATGTACATGCATAGCAAAACTGCATGATTAAAATAGCATAAAAGGCAGAGGGTATGGATGGAGTCTTGCACTGTGAGCACCTTGTGCTGTCAGGGAACTGGTAGAAGTGCTAATCAGAGGTTGACCCCGATGAGTCAAGGTGGAAAGTACTGATGAATAATAAAAGTATGTAAAAGTAACAAGTTAACAGAGAATAAAAATGAAGTAGTATCAGTATTTGATTCATCTAGAGAAGCAGGAAAGGAGATAAGAAAGAAGTGATGGGACAAAGGAGGGTTGATGTAAGACAGCAGAGCATAGGGTTAAAAAAGCAACTTGAGGGATCCCCGGGTGGCGCAGCGGTTTGGCGCCTGCCTTTGGCCCAGGGCGCGATCCTGGAGACCCCGGATCGAATCCCATGTCGGGCTCCCGGTGCATGGAGCCTGCTTCTCCCTCTGCCTGTGTCTCTGCCTCTCTCTCTCTCTCTCCCTGTGTGACTATCATAAATAAATAAAAAATAAAAAATAAAAAATAAAAAATAAAAAAAAAAAGCAACTTGATGTTGCTTCTAAATCTATATATAAATATATAAATTTGTATATAAATCTTTATACAAGGGGGCACCCGGGTGGCTCAGCGGTTGAGTGTCTGCTTTCGGCTAAGGTCGTGATCCCGGGGTCCTGGGATGGAGTCCCACAACAGGCTCCCTGCAGGGAGCCTGTTTCTCCCTCTGCCTATGTCTCTGTCTTTCTCTGTGTGTCTTTCATAAATAAAATCTTTAAAAAAATCTTTATACAAATATGAAGACATAGAAAGGTTGACAGCAAAAGGATAGAAAAAGATATATCATGGTGTAGCCAAAAGGGAGCTGGTGTAGGTAAATTGTATCATACAAAGTAAACCTTAAATATAATCAGAGACAAAGATGGATGTTTCATGTTTTAAAAAGCTGTCATTTTGGTAAGAAGATACCAATCTAAATCTGTATGTACCTAAAAACATGACCTTAAAGAATATAAAGCAAAAGTGGCAGGACTCAAAGGTAAGAAAGAATGGGCGCAATCATGGTGGGGGATTTGAATACACTTCTGTTGGTAACTGATAGAAAAGCAGTCAAACCATTGACAGAGAGACAAATTTGGATGACATGAGTAGCAACTTGACCTAATCAACATTTACAGAACACTGCTCTCAGTAGCTGAAGAGTACATAAGCTTTCCAAGTGCACATGGAATGCTTACGGAACAGACTGTACACAGGGCTTTAAAAGCAAGTTCCAACAAATTTCAAAGAAATTCAATCAAATATGTATTTCTCTAACCACAGTGAAATTAAGCTAAAATCAATAAGAAAAAGATAGCTAGAAAATCCTTAAGTGTTTTAGAGATTAATCTCAACGACCCAAGGTCAAAGAAGAAATCTAGTAAGAATCAGAAAGTATCTTAAATTGGATAATAATAAAAAGCTCACATATCACAGCTAAATAAGTGACTGAGGTATCATGAAATAAGTGCTTAGAGAAAACCTATGACCTTAGATGTATATATTAGAGAAGAGGGAGGCCAAATTCTCTCTTAAGAAGTTAAAAACAAAGATAACAAATTAGACCCAAAGAAAGTAGATAGATAATGCAGAGTACAACTCAATAAAATAGAAAATGAACATTACATTAAAAACATCAACAAAGCCAAATTTTGATTCTCTGAAGAAAGTAATGAAATTGACAAACTTTTGGCAAGAGTAACCAGCCAGTGTCAGGCATCAAAAATCAACATGTTTGCAGACCTCAAGAGTTAAAAAATCTATTTGGAGGACATTATGTACAAAACCAATTTTGATAGTTTGGTTAAAATGTATCAATTTCTTAAACATGATACATAAAAGCAGACACAAGAAGAAATAAGAAATCCAAGTTTCTCAATATTCATCACATATTTTAAATTAGAAATTTTAATGATCTTTGCACAAA